AGATATATAACATGATATCAAAGTTAATGCTTTGCAACTGATCCAGCTATTATTTTTTCTAAAATTTTAATACGCTCTTATTCTTGCTGAACATACAATATTATTTAATCTTTCAGATGGATGGTCCCTGCAACTTCAACAATTAATCCCCATCAAGCTTCTTAATGTAGTCGGTTGATCTTTCAATCCCTTTTCTGTTAAAATTTATTTTGTGTAATATGAAGAACGTTATCCAAACTCAACTCACTCCCGAAAATTTTCCTACAAGGAAATATCAAATTCTAATGTTGTTTCGAGTTAATGGATTTCAAGGGTATTTGGTTGGTTCCATGCCAGCACCCAAAACACATTTTGTCACTAAACTAGGTTCACTTATTCCAAATTCCCAATACAGCCTATGGATCTTAATAGATCAAAATATGGCCTCAGCTCCTTATTCCACTATTTGAATTGATTCTACCTTATGTTCTTAATCTAGATTCATGTGCTGAAATTTGGATTACACTTGAACGGCGATTTTTGTCTCACTAATTGAGCTCATCTTATTCTACTAAAGAATGAGCTGCATCATATTTCTATAAGAAAACCGTTCAAATACCAACTACCAACAAACTATATAAGAGTAGTCTCATCTCCATGTATCGGTCCTACTATTTACCGACATTTGGTTGGATTACTTCAATACTTAATCATAGCAAGGTCGGATCTTCCATTTGTAATTAATCAATTATGTCAAGGTATGCATGATCTCACTAATGATCACACACAACAACTATGTTGAATTTGAAATTGTTTTATGAATCACATCCAAGGAATATAGCGTATCATAAGAGAGAAGCTGAGGGAGAGAGAGAAAGAGATAGAGTGCTTAGTAGGTTAAAACTTCCATAGTTCTTAACCTTGATTTATTAACACTTGACTGCAGAAATGACCCTCTATTTATAGACAAAGGGGTATATAAAGTACAATTACTTGCTTGCCCCTTTTTAAGTAGGGTGTGCTACAGGATAATTTAGTCATAAATAAATAAATAAATAAAGTCTTCAAATTGACTCTTCCACCATTCGATCGCTTATGCCTGATAATCTTTGGATCAGTGAAGCCCACTCCACAGAAGTCACTGGTTTCAGGTAGCTAGCCAATTGAAACTATTTGTCGGTTGACCAAATCTTCGCTCGTTTTGCCTTTTTGGCTGAATAGTTTCTTTGATTTGTCGATCGACTTTGGATCCTGCTCTGAGGGAACTGAGACAACGGACCAATACGACTCACGTATTGTATACTTTGACCTTTGGCCAACGGAACAATACGACTCACGTATTGTATACTTTGACCTTTGGTGAATTTTCTTTGACCATACATCTTTTGATTCATTATATCCCCACAAGATTTGTGTTGATATATATATATATATATATATATATATTATATACATATTTATGACCTGTTTGGTGTAGCTGAAGTTTAATAATAAGCTGCTGCGTAGTTGTTGTGGATAAGCTGGGTGTCTTTGTTTTTTTCAGTATGAAGACAGTTGCCTTGTAACTGTTTCTGGACAAATAATCATTCTGCTACTGTATAGTAATATTCTTTGCAACATAATTGTTCATACCAGTACATTCTATACTTTAAAAGCAAATATTCAGTGCAGAACGTTACAAAATAAAAATAAAAATCTCACTAAACAGTGAATGACATGATTATTATAATTAAGAAAATGACTATTAAAACAACAATTAATAATATGATGATATTATTTTTAAAATGCAAAAGACGTATGTCATGCGCTAAGCCGTCCTCTAGAGATACTTTTCATGCCCGATCACTGTCGACGGTGGAGTCTTTCAGCTCATCTGCCCACCGAAAATAGCCATAGTTTTATGTATTTTATCGTGGGCACTTGTAAAACTGTCTTCCGTAGTTATGTACAATGAATATTTTTTGGGCTACCACATCCATTGTTTTTGGGCCAGTCACTACCATCAATGTCGGCAAACCATTGCTGCTATCTGTATGAAATTTATAGCCGCTGCTCTTAAGAAATTCATACTCTATTTTTGGAAGTGCCTTGGTGATCATCTCCTTGATTAACAACTACCTTTGTGATTCTCAGGTCTATCAGTATCGTCTTGAGTCCCATGCTTTTGTTTCCTGTAGACTCATCATCATTGTGGATCGGAGTTTTGATATTTATTAATACTATTATTGCACCAATCTTTGTAGCAGTACTATTGGTGGTTGGTTGTTTAATCTTTCTATTTTCTTAGTAAACTTTCTTTTTCAAGTACGAGATGGTAGGAGAGCCTTATTTTTTATTAATATTACATATTACTTTGAAGTAGAAAAATCAAGGCTACCTCCTTACTAAGAAAAAAATTATACCGAAGGCATGATTTCACTATCCACTTCTCGACATGCTCGTCACCTATTACTTTGCTTCATGTCTTTCTCGTTGGATCTTTGGCCAAATCCAGTGCTAGAATTTAGCTTTATTGCCTAAATTGTTCAAATCAGTTGCATCATTACATTTAACTTTGGCATCCAGTTTTCAACCAACTATGATGAATGTATGTCTTTATGTAGCCCGAGTTGTGAATTTGGCTTGAATGTTATTTAAAAGTTGGGTCTTTTTTTACTTGAATTGAAATCAACAAGATAGCCTACCTCAGATCAAAGTTAAATTGAGTTGAGCCTGGATCAAATTGATCTAGCACCAGATTAGATTCAAGAGTTTCTGTCTGTATGAATTTATTTCTTTATGTATTTAGATTGGAATGAATGTATATGCTCGTGGACATGCACGTTCTCTCTCACACACAAACATATTTATGTATGTATTGAACTAGGAACTTGTTGTAGGGGATCAAAAATTAATGGCGATCGAATTGTTTTTGGCTCTAGTGAAAATTAATGAGCCATACCTAAGATCAAATCGAGATCAGATTGATTCTATAATTAAGCTTGGCTTGGTTCAATATTAGACTAAATTATCTTGAGTCAAGGTTGAATTGACTTGAGATTTGACTCAAGATTGGATCATATTCAGAACCATTGCTGCTTTGTTGCTTATGTTAACCAAATTGTTTGCATTTTGTTACAAGTTTGGCATTTTTTCTTCGTTTGGTCACATCTACTATATTATTTAATCAACGTACGCCACTTGCTCAGTAAAATAGATCACATCAACAAGTCACACTACCAAGGTTGAGTGACACAAACCTCCAAGCATTAAGAGACACTCAAAAGAGTATCAATTCACTAAAAAAAAAAAGAAGAAAACATTCAATATCTATTTGAGGATTAGATTTATCATTTCGAAGAAACTCTAAAATTCTTGTAAAAATCTTTGGGGCAAACAAAACAACTTTCATTCACTCATAGGAATTCATGAACATTGAGATGGAGACCTGTCTTTGAAGGCTTCATATCGAAATGTTGGCTCAATATCTTACTATTAAGTTGCTGCCAAGGCTGTGAATATGGTTAAAGGGAATATTGATCACATTATCTTTTTTTTTTAAAGCCATATATGAGCGAAATATCATAAATTTTCAAGATTTAATGATGGTTTATCATAAAATTGTAAGTATCCATCTTTACGTCTTTATGTAACTTTTACAATCACTATTTGTATACTCAACCTCGAATGGGCATGATTGGTCAAAGGGAGACTTTATCTTCACAATACTGAGCAGACTCTTACAATTATTTTTTATATTTTTAGAAAACAGTTCAATCGATCCTTGATGGGTTTAACTTAATATACTTCATAAAAAATTATGATATTGTTGCCCAACGTCTGAGGCTATAGGTGCACCACCATAGGTGCTTGTTTGAGTGAGTAGGCATTAAAAAGGAAATATTTATATTGTATATGATTTTCTTCAATTATGAGGAGAGAGTATTAAATGGTAGTCATTGCATTAAATTAAGTGGGGAAAAATAATGAATTTTGAATTTAATTTCATTCCAAATTAAAAAATTTACTAATAGATTATTTTGACATAGGCAAACTACTCTTGTTTGTGAAGCATTTAGCCTAAGGGTAAATTTTTTTTTACTACAATGTTCATTTCATTTTCAAGTTATAAAATCTTACTAATAGATTATTTTAACATAGGTAACCTACTCTTGTCTGTGAAGCATTTAGCTTTTTGGTAATCTGTTCTTTAATACTATGTATTTCATCTTTTTTATCATTCACGCCTTCTTCTCTATCATGAGATTGTAGCCCTCTAGCTTTTTTACTGTCCTCTTGATGTCATTTTTTTCATGTACTAATAGCATATATAGCCTAGGGATAGTTTATTATATGCTATTATTTATTCCATATTCTTTGCTAACATGCTTTCTTCTCTATCATTGGATTGTGGCCTTATTTCTCTTTCTCAGTTATTTTGATCTCGCCCCCCTTCATCTTTATTATTTACTACTTTAGAACTAAACTTCTTTCACTTGCATCAGATCAACTTATTTTAAAGATAAATACTTGTTTTATCAATTATTTACACCTTTCCCATTATCCCGGCCAGATCTCGTTATAAAACATATTGAGTAATAACACCCATCTCTAATATCAAGAGAAGGTTTTCCTTTCACCGCTTGGTAAGACAAAGGTGCTCGCCTATGAATGCCTTAGTAAAATTTGCCCACTTAAGCGCTTTGCCATTAATGTCGCCCTTAAGATCGCTGTGTTAGCCGCATTTACGCTTGGAAAGACAACAATGCTCGGCTATGAATGCCTTAGTAATATTTGTCCACTTAAGCGCTTTTCTATTAACGTCGCCCTTAAGATCGCTGCGTTGGTCGCATTTACATATCTAGCAAAAGATACTCACGAAATTAATATGTTTTAGGCAATTGAAATAGATGCCCTTCACTTTTAAGTAGTTTGAATCACTATTTTGTCCTGCGTAGACAACTATTATCAGATATATCCATGTTACAAGGGTGTGAATTACTGTTAATAATCTGGCTTCGCTATTTTTCTACATTTTTCAGGGCTTTATATTTATTCAGGAGCCGAGACTAAGCTAATTGTAGATACCTCAAGAGGAGAAAGGCTACGTGTCAATGTCAGTTCCTGGAAACATTGCTTGATGTTTTAGCTAAGCTGCTTCAAGTTTGTTTCTTAGTTGGCAAATGATGCCTATGCCAAACATGCATTCCATTCTTTAGTTCATTTCTATTTGCAGCTGATTTTTAATTTCAAAGTTATGTAGTTGTTAGCCCCTACAACAACTTCTAATTTACCCAAAAAATAAACATTTTAAAGAAAATTTTTAAATCTAATCGGTTCCACAACCGGTAACTGAATTTTAAAATCCAACCATATATAGAGGCTAGAAAAGCTTGCTAGCGCTGTTAGTCATTTTAATCTTCAATGGAGAAGTTAATATAAAATTTGATATGTTTCGTCGCCATCTTCACCAACTTGATGTAATATTTTTAAATATTGAGGTACGGTACATCTATGAGCACCATTAATGTTGCACATTTGGTCTTTTGCATTAGAATTTCTCTGAATACTTAAATTATGATTTTAGCAAGCAAAAAAGTTGGACTACTTTTTGTTTTCTAAACATTAAAGGCTAAGGTGTTTGGGATTATTTTTGTTTTTTGTTTTTATTTTATTTTATTTATGTTTTAATTTGAAACAAAATATGTTTGGTTTTTTTATTAAAGTACGATTGTTTAGAAACACTCTCTTTTCAAAAACATTTGAATTTATTTTTAGAAAAAAAAATAAAAATATATAAAAAATACACTAAATAAATTATTTTTAAAAGCAAAAGAAAAAACAAAAATAAAGTACAAAATACATAATTTGTTCCAAACAATTTATAAATTTATTCTATCGTTTCCATGTTAACTAAATACTCTTCATTTACAACTTTAATGCCATTTACTTGTTTTGATGTTGTTATATCTTTATCAGTGAACCTGATTGAACATTTCCTGTTGTTCGGCAGTTTGATGTTACATTTCCATCCCTTGCTTGCTCGCTTCTAAGTCTTGATGCTATGGATATCAGTGGTGAGCGTCACTATGATATTGTATGGCCATGGATACTATTCTTGTGTTTTGATAATTTTACATCTATTTCCGTGCTTTATTTTGATGCTAAGTGCAATTTCCATACAGAGGCATGACATTGTAAAGAAAAGATTAGATCATCTTGGAGAAGTTATTGATTCAAGACAAGGTGATATTGGTGCACCACAGGTTGGCAGTATTTCCCTAAATATTCACTCTCTCAGCTTGTTTCTTGCTTAGTGGAGCAAAATTTATTATCGTCTTTACATACATGTCACCCAATTGCTATGTATTTACATATATAACATCAAAGTTTTACTTTTTACATTAATATCTCTCATATCTAGGGGTGTCAAAAATTGACCCGACACACCAACACGATTCGGAAAATCTGGATTAGGGTTGGCACAAATATTTTTCGGGCTGGTTTGGGTTAGAGAATTCCACATGTTTATTATTCAAGTCGGGTTCGGGTTGAACCCAAAAACCCAAACATGACCCAAATAAGCACGAAATTTCGGGTATAGTTCGGTTTAGCAGGTCAACCTCAGGTTCAGAGCTTAGTATTCGACCTATGTATTATTCCTATTCGGGTTCAATCATTTTCAGGTCAGACAATTGACACCCCTACCCATATCTTTCATATCAGATAGAAAATATACCCCCATTTTAACTTTTTGAAAGTGAAGCATGCCTTTTCATGCATGGGCAAAGGTGGTATGCATGTAATAATTGAAGTTTTGTAGTTAGATATGTAAATACATTGGAATTGAGTGGTATATGTCTAAATCTTTCAATTTTATATTAACTTCTGCTATCTAGTATAATTATTCATTGCTAAAATGTTTGCAGAACTTGTGTTTTTAGAACTCCTTAGCTCAGCTTAAGCAGGTTTTATCATAAAAAGTTTTGTGGGTTAGTTGAAGCCATCATTGGATGAGTGCTAGTTTGAAGGAGACTGTGTAAATTGACGCTATTTTGTTCATTTTTACATGAAGTTTGGTTCTGTTTTGGCAAAGTATTTTCTTTTGAGGGGTGATACTGGACGAAATCAAAACCACAGTAAGAATGTAAATATAATTATTGCATTCGAATAGGGTTGCAATGCCGACTCCTCTATTTAAACTATACAAATATGCAAACGGAAAGGACAACAATGACGCTGCGAAAAATACAAAAAGAAAAACAAAACTCATAAATGACACTCTACAATGTGAATGACGTTGGTGTGGATGGGCCGGTTGGTCGTTCCGCTCTCGAGAGCTTTGCCCTGCTTTTGGTTTGCGGCTCCAGGGGCAACAAATTCTTTCAACTTCCCCTCCTTTACTAGCTCCTCAATCATGCTTTGTAGGTGTTTGCATTGTCGCGGATTGTGTTCTTTATCTCTTTGATACTTATAATATTTTCTGCTGTCTCAAAGAAAAGCTCCGACCCTCATCGACGTTGCTTTTCTGAAGAACTCCTTATTCTGGATGGTGGCCACTATTTCTGCCATAGGTATTCTGAGTGGGTTTCGCGGGGGTGGGACGATCAGTGGTTCTGGGAGGGCAGGAGTCATGGCGGTGGACCAGACAACCACAAGAAGATGAGGACAAC